GCACTCTGGATGGGATGCCAGTCCATTAGAGGGCACAGGGCAGGGGTAGACGGCACTCTGAATGGGATGCCAGTCCATCACAGGGCACAGGGCAGGGGTAGACGGCACTCTGGATGGGATGCCAGTCCATCACAGGGCACAGGGCAGGGGTAGACGGCACTCTGGATGGGATGCCAGTCCATTAGAGGGCCAATACATGTACATGCTCAGACACAGAGAATCACAAACTGGGCGATTCAGGGACATCAATTATCCCACATGCATGTCTTTGGACTGTGGGTGAAAACCTGCATGACACGTTCATCAACAGACAGAAAAATGGGCATATCACCTATGAACAAAGATATACGCCAATACAGGAAAAGCAGCACAAAACAGAACATCTATACACACTCCCAACTGGAATTTATACCCTGGTCCTTATTTGCTTCATGCAATTAGAGAAATGTCTTTATATTTCCATAAGGATATTTATTCAGTTATCACACACATATGAAACTGTTTATTTTCCATTCATCATGCCCCACCTCACATTCAGTGACCGAATGTCCCACAAGTGCAGCAGCGGAGCAACAGATAAATAAACATTCCGGAATATTCCAGTAACGGCATCTCCATCCGAGCAAGGCGGGGCTGGAAATGGACTGTCACCTTCAAGGTGGAGAAGACCTCACAGCTGCTGTGTCCTGGAGAGATGGCGAGTGATGGAGGGTGGAGAGAGATGGAGGGAGCTGCTATTCAAAGGAGTGATTAAATGGTGTGTGTGTGTGTGTGTGTGTGTGTGTGTGTGTGTGTGTAGGGCAGAGAGAGAGCAAGAGATCGAGAGAGTAAACTGTGGCCAAGCAGGATGGTTAGTGGGAAATGAATGTCCAGTATGAACAGAGTGGGACCGAGAGTTCAGGCCCTTTCAGACCAGCCCATAGGCTCCACTTTGCCTGTAACCTGCAGTCAAGACGGATGCTGGAGCCATTCATGCAGACATTAACATTTATACCTGTCATTTCAAACGCACTGCCAATCAAAACTCGCATTTTTCCCATGAATCCTGCCTCCTCCCTCTTTCATAACAGAAGGCACACCAGTCAGACTACTACAGTGGCCCAGACTTTTACATGCACTATAACAATTTCCCAGTGTCAAGTTCATTGTCATGCTATACATAGTTTTAAATATTAATCTCCACCCCCCCCACCAAAAAATTTCCAAGGGAATGCTGAGCAAAGCGTTCAGCCAGCTTTCACAATGGTCACCAATAGTTGCAAACAAGTATGGCCATATCTTAATATGCAGTTATTCAGCTTCAAATTCCAACAGATATGTAATAAGAATGTAATTTATACATCAAGTACATCAAGTAATTAATACATCAAGTAACAGAAAATGTTTTTCATGCTATTTGAGATCAAAGATTGAAGTATGTTTACCCTGTACTTGCCTTTTCAACAACACTGCCAATCAAAGCTCATTTTTCCCCATGAATACAGCCTTGTCCCTCTTTTCATAAGAGAAAGTACTTAAGCCTAGATCACTACAATGGCCCAGCTCAGTCTCCACATCAGCTTTCAGTTCCTTCCTGCAAACTGAGAGGGGCAACAAGCTCGTCACCCAGGAAATCACCCAAAGTTCACTTTTGTAGGGGGCTTAGCGCACCCACCCTGTCCACAGGTACCCATCCGCACTTGGAGTGCTCCATTACCCCCCTAGCTAACAGGCAAGCTCCTCTCAAAGCACCCAGACCTGCTTCAGAAAATAGGCAGGTCTTCATTCAACCTAAGTACTTAATAAATACTCTACAGAAGTCGACGCTAAAGGCTAGAGCTAAGCATACGAGTGCATCAACACCAGGCCACTAGGTCTGCGAATGACGTCTAAATTCTACACCTACTGTATATTATTGGGTCAGCTCTTGTCTGTTCATTGCCCAAGCACCTTACAAAGGAAGTGACCCCGGTTCCTCTTGTGGGTCGAATGTGACGTTCCCAGCCGCGCTGTTGTTCCTAAAAGCAAGGACTCGGAACGCCATCATGATTCACAGCCGCCCGCCGTGCTTATTGTGAAAAACAAGCAAGAAGTGCTTCCCATCTCCAGCACTTCCGCCACTGCCTATGACTCATCCACAGCCAATTAACGTGCTTTGTTATTGCGTAAATCTCCACTCGCTACAGGGGACGGTAATTAGGTAAATTACCTCGATATGTCAATGACAAAGACTGGAGTGTACCACTGTGTTACGCAAGTAACAATTCAATTAACCTCCTTACAACGACAAAATCATATTAACTCTGTGTGGCTAATAAACACCTGTCAGAAAACCTGTCTGTAACACACAGAAATTTACGATGACCTTGCACCCTTATCCTATATCCAGCCTGAAAACTGTTTTTTTCCCCAGGCCTTTTTTTGACACACCTCCTGTGTGCGTTTTTCTGCTGTAGTGAATTTTTATTCCCGACATAATGTCTTTTTTCCGTGATTTTCACTCAGATGGATGATGGGCATCTGATGGTAGTTTTCCCTCTGAAGGTCAATCAGGATCAAACATGATGGTCACAAGCAAACACTGCAGACAAGGTCAGTGAAGGGAGCCCCACAGTCTCTTAAGAACATAAGAACATATGTTGTGAATTCATGGAATAATTTCAGCAATACAGAGCAAAAGCACCTCCAGAATGAACTGGAAAAAGTTAGAAATTATATATCAAATAACAGCAAACAGAAGTTCCAGAAACATTTTAGAAAGGTATAAACACTATCCTACAAATTTCTTCTGTACAGGATGTGGATAATGTGAAACAGTGGTTCAGAAATTAATCACTGGTACAGTTCCTGTACAGGATGTGGATAATGTGAAACAGTGGTTCAGAAATTAAACACTGGTGCAGTTCCTGTACAGGAAAATGGGAACAAATCACGCCTTCATCAGCTACCTGCCTATGGCTGCACACCAAGCAAGACCACCCCCCCGCGCCTCTACGTCCTTGAGTGACGTAATTGATTCACTGCTTCTGTTTTCTGAAACTAACCAGAGGTCCCTACGCCTGACAAACTACCGATAAAAGTATGAGAGTACAGATAGCTTTATTTACCCAGGGAATGCCTGACACATTCTCCATGCAGGGCACAATGAAACAAATATTATTAATGTGCAAATAAGAATAGTTGCTTTTCAAAGGCATTGGATTATTTTAATCACAGTACTTCGTATACATATTTAAATGCAGATTCCCAATTAGAAAAGCAGATGCAGACTATGGAGAAACGTTTCCACATCCACATGAAGGACTGGAAATTTCGGCAAATGAAAAGCACTACCAAGAATCAATACATTCCTCCCATGTCCAAAATCTCCTGTGTGGCTGTTGTCACATTCTCAAACCACACAGACACACACACAGAGTTGGAATCTGCATTGAAAACCAATGTTCCATGTTAATAATACAAAGCCAAGCAGCCTTTCCCTGATCCCAGGGTACATAATATTGTTCCATGGATATTATAAAATATGCTGAGACAATAAAAAAGGGCCATAGCAATAACCATTCAAAGTTGTAATGGTCATCTCAGCACCTCTGTGAAATCCAACCTGAATTTTACAATGTTACAGTGGTCACCAGGCTGCAAGCTGAAACAATTTGTTAAGCGACACCCACCTCATTACCCCACTCGTGGAATCTTTTATTCATTTACCTGTAGCAAAGCACAGAGGGATTATGTAAATTAAATTACCCTGCTGTTTATATACTACCCAGACTTTCATTATCACTCAGAGCCATGAAGAAACCATGCTCAATAGAAGCAGAGAGAGTCAGCTGCCAGATTTGGAAGCAGCATAAATCCAGGCCAGGTTCATATCCCATCATGCACTGCTCAACCATGTATCAAGGCCAGGATGACATGTGCCTCTGACGATTTGAGCGACCGAAACGACCATCCCACCCCCAGCACAATCCTCACTAGGGGTAGCTCTCCTGGCTTGGGAGACCAGGTGGTTATGGATCAATTTAGGGGAAGTCAGGGTACTCACTCATAGCGGGAGGCTGGAGCCAAGCTGAGGTCCCAAACAGGTGAGGCTTTTCTCCACTAATCCACCCCTGGAGGCCCTCATGACCTGCCGCACATGAAGAGCCACATGGGTTACCATTATAGACACATGTGCAGACAAGGGCACAATGCCCAAAAGGCCCAGGCCTGTGTCACGTGGTTCACATTCCGCAGGCTGACGGCCAGGCACCAGGATGTGGCGGTTTAATCAGTGACCTCTCAGAAGCCAGCGCCCATGGGTAAATAACAGTAATCTGGTGATGAGTGAGGGTATTTCCGTGCAGCGAGAGTAATAACAGTAATTTGATGATTTCCTCACAGATACACCAGGGCAGGAAATGATGCGATGTCGCAGAGATGACCCTGTGGTGACAGCCTGATTGGACACAGTCGAATCGGGTTCCTCGCTAGTGCACCATGCTGGAAAGGTGTAAACAAACAAAAAATGAAACGTTTCCTTATCACCCCACATGTGAGTTTTCCAAATGTGTCTTTGTGTGAATCAACAGAGCTACCTAATTAAGCTGGACAAATCCACGTTGGTCATCCTGCTTGTTTCTTTGGTGAATGTTTACATCCTGATGTTAAGGACACAGCAATTCGAAAAGCCAAGACCTCTGTCCCAGGTGGTCATCTCCAAACTCTCCAGACCTCTGTCGACGATAGATGATTGGTTGATGATAATGATGGTGAGGGCGAAGAGAGCAGAAGAGGCTGGGGAAACGTCACATGGATAGGATGATAAACAAAATATGCCCTGCGTCAGCACAGTGTCTCTGCTAATTAAGAAAGATGCCAAGCATGGGGTAGCAGACAATTATTCAGTAACGTCCTGACAGCCCCTCAGAGAAGAACCCCGGAGGCAGAAGAATTCTGCTCTCTGTCTTGATTCCACAGCAGGCTGGGAAGCGCCAACACCCGTGGACTGCATGAAGAGCAGAGAAGCATGCAGCGGTTCAGTGGAGGCCTCTGTACCACCATCTGTTTCAGAAGGTATTACACTAATAGACCCTCATCTGGATAAACAGACTGGAAAATAGAGCTATGGAGAGATCTCAGCACTAAACCAAATTATACCATCTGATCCCTGACTAGACCAAGACAGCAATCACAGTTAATAAAGTTAAGAAGTAAGAGTCAATTTTCAAAGTCCATTACTTATTGAGGTACTGTTTATATGATGCACTTGGAGCCACAGATGTGCTGTTTTCTGATTTATCATTTAAAACTGGCCAACAGCTTCAGGTTAAAAAGTACAATAATGTGATAATGCGGTTGAATTACAAGCTCTGGTGACCGAGGACACTGAATAAGCATGTTTCTAGCCTTCCTTAATCTGCAGATTCTGTGATAGCACAGCTTATACTATCATAACAAGACTGCTCAGATACATCTAGAATGTATGTCTGACCCAGCCAGCTGATTTTCCCACAATCCACTCTGGTGTGGTAGTCAAGGAAGGTAAAAATCCCCGGATGTCGTTCTTGTCTTGCCCCAAATATCAAGGGGAGAATCTCAGTACCAAGAATGCAAAGACCATACTGACTGGTCTTCCTAACTTGTCTTCCAAGAATGAACTGATCATGGGATTAGTCTTGTTCAGCTAGGATGCCACCGATGTATCCGTGATATTTGGGGTGGAGCAAGACCAACATCCTGGGATTTTTACCATCCTCGTGAACTTGTGCTCTTGGTATTGGACCTGGGGGGCATTCCATGAAAGTAGCTAAAGAAAGCCACACTTTCCCAAAAAAGTCAAGCTCAACCTAGCACCATCTCTAAACTTAGCCTCATGTCGTTCCACTAATGCAATTAAGCTTTAACTAATCAAGGCTCATACAAATCAGACTTACATAGTCTCACTTAGTGCGCACATCCGATATATTTGAGGCCCAAATGAATGGATGAATGAAAGATAGATCAAATGAGTCGGAAAGCGTGTAAAACGAGAGCGATGTCTTTTTCCACCGCAGAACAAACACTGCTTATGGAGCTGTATGAAGAATACAAAGATGTAATCGCTAAAAAAGGCAATACTGTGGCCATAAATAAAACCAGGGAGTTGGCTTGGCAAAGAATTGCAGACAGACTAAATGTGTAAGTTATGTAAATGCTAGAAGTGCCTGGTATGGTGGTACAGTGGTTTATGCTGTCACCTTACACCATGAAAGTTCCTGGTTCAATTCCCATAACTAACAGGGAACCTTTTGGGTTTCGTTCATGTGACATTCTTACTGTAGCCTATAATGTTATTCTGTATTATTTGATCTCCGTAAAATACTTTTGCATCCGCGTGAAATGTTCTGCACAAATGACCGTATCTTGTCTGTGTTTTTTTACTAGTAATCTTTCAAAGTAGACAGTGACTAAAAATATAAAAATATCTTCCTGTTCATATTATTTTAACGGATTTTTTTTCAATTTCAGTCATTGCATTTCATATTTGACCTTTGTAATATGGGAATGCTTTTATTTTAATTATTTTGCAATTAATTGGAATGCTAAGAGGTAATTTTTATAGGCTTTATTTTATTTATTACATGGCATGAGTAGTGAGAGCTCGGAATTTCGTCCGATGGAACGATCTTTTAGGAATCTGTTCCCACACTTCGGACGTTCTTCGAGACAACGCTTAACTATTAGCATGGCAGTTAACCTGGTCCGGAGCAGACTTGTTCACTCGCCTAAGTTACCATGGTAACCCAGCGGGGGTTCATTTAAGACACGCTGATGGAACGGAACTCCCACTTAAATGAGCCAGACTTGTCGTAATAAGTCAGACTTTCCCTTATTCCTGCTTCGTGGAACACCCCTCTGGTCATCGGCAATGGAAGATGACGTAAAACGGACATACAAGAACACAACTACAGTCAAGTTCTCATATTGAGATTCACCCAACGATACATCGGTAGCATCCTTGCCGAACAACAACCCCATGATTCATTGTGCCAAAGTTCGTTCTTGGTATTGAGAAACACCCCAGAAATTATACGTCTGGAATGTCCCTGGAGATATGAGGAACTCCAACCCACATCACCCGTTCTGATTCGTGCAAATAAAAACGGTTCTGTAATGACCTAGCCTGTAACACATGCCGTCTGTAAACTTGAGGTGAAGGATGCAGTCATTATAACGCCTTTCCACTGGCATACAGCTACCAAACCGCACCCGAGCTGTTCCTCGTATTTGTTCTCCATAACTATAAGGGGAAAATCGGACATTTTCAGAATAGCTTCAGGATCCATTATGTAAGAAGCAATGCACATACTGTAAATAAAAATACCAATGTTAAGGTTCTTAGAAATTAAACAGTGTTATCACTCAATTAGCAAGTACAGTGATCCCCTGCTATATCGCGGTTCATCTATCGCGCCCCGCTATATCGCGGATTTTTCCCCGGCCTGTCACAGTTCTCTGCGTATCGCGTACCTTGCTTGTGGTCCGACTGTTTTCGTTTTGTTTTAAGCCCTACGATGGCTCCCAAGCTTCCTGCATCTTCTAAGCCTTCTGGTAGTAGTGAGCCTAAGCGCCAGAGGAAGGCTTTGACCATTCAGAAGGTAAAGCTGGATATGCTTCGGGAAGGAACGCATTACACGATTTCAATTAGAATTCGCTGGTGTAAATTTGCATTACGAATCCATTCCGTACTTTCCGTACGGAAATTGGAAATTTTCAAATTCCGAATTATCGGTAATGTGTTAATACATTGCGATGTGCGAAACTAATAATAATTAATAATATACAGAATATGCCCAGATAAGCCATGCAGATCACCGATATCTCCGTGCTTTCAACCAATCAGATGGTGGTGACGCAACCAACTTGGTCAGGTTCGCATACATTGCAATGTAAAACCGTAAGTTCGCGGTACGGTGTTGTGGTACAGCTCGGTTCCTGGAGACAGTGGAAAAACTTCAATAGTGAACTACACTGTCCACATAAAGAGCAAAAAAGATTCCATATGCTTAACAGTCACTCTGCACCTGTGATACATAGTTTACCTAACGACTGATGCCATCACTGCAGCAGATAGAAGTGACTTTAGGGAGCACAGATGATTGGATAAGAATGAGAGAGAGGAGATCTTGTCAAATTAAATTCTACATTGTGTCTTACATCTTTGGTACTGATTTATGGTTAAAGAACATGAATGGAGGCTGGATCATGCCCCAGGACACACTGTAATAACCTTGGTAGCATTTGCTAACAGTACCCCTTAATGTGCGTGTGTGTGTGTGTGTGTGTACACACACATACATACACATACAGCTGTGCTTAGACTTTACTTTTATTAATGATGTTAACCATCCGAGAGTATTTCTAAATGCCCACAAAAAACAGGATTTGATGTAACACAGTACTACAATAATTGTAAAAAACGCCCTGGGCGCGTTGTTACATTTCAACGGTAAGAAATGTCACGTGTCGGCTGAAACTTCACATTACATTTTAGATATACGACTAAAATATTGCGTTTCTCACACAGCAAAATGCAATTATCCAGTGCAGTTGGAACGGAACTAAAGACCGCAAAACAAAGGTAAGCAGACATACTACTAAAAAGACGGGCAAAACCTCACCGGAGCACAGGATACAATTTTATTATGAACGCCCGTAACCCAGATCTACTGTCATTATACCCTTACATTAACATAACACAAGCAACATAAACGTTAAAAAAAAACACATCAAATGAATTCGAGGGCACCAGAGCCAATCGCATTCCGTAAATCATGTCCCGTGGCCAATCACATAATTCAATAGGTGTCCTTTAACCAATCGCGTTCCTTCTTGCAAACTAATAGTGTGTCAATCAATCGTGAGCCAGCGTGGTCGGTGGGCTTGACTGTCGTTAGGCCTCATTGAATAGAAAATATGCGAAAGTTTTCAGGAATCCCGGGTCTAAATGGAATGTTGTGCAGACACCCAGTATAACGCAGCAGATTTCTGCACGTCATTCAGATACAGCAGAAAAGAGGGACCGAAGTAGTTCCGCTTGTAATAGTGGTTAGTAAAGCGACCGCTTCTCTTTCATTATATAGAAGAAATGGGATTGCGTTGACTGATGCGCACTGAAAACTATAGATGAACTTACATATTTAAATTTAATTAGGGAAGAAAAAAAAACAAATCGGCATAATTACCTTATTCGAATGCGATAGTATCCGTTTCGTTTATGTCTCTGAAGCCGTTTTCTCGGTCGGATTAATGTTTAAAATGTCCATGTTCCTGTTCGAGGAAGCCTGCTGCCCCATGCAGAAGTAAATACTGAACCACTTCCCGCACTGGCTGTGGAAACCCCTTCGGGACGCGGTGCGAGTCATCCGACTCCAGGTGGCAATGCGCCGCCACTCGGCATTACCTTCCCGGCCATGTTGAATCCGAAAGCTTTTGCCTTTTTGCTTGTGTGTGGCTCTTGCATTCCAGGAGATATGGAAATGAAGCTTACTGGAACCGCAGATCGCGTAATAATTTAGTGTCAGTTACACTGCACAACTCGGCTTCTCTTATTAGAGAAGCTTTTAAGGATTTGTGAGTTTGAAACTGCAGGACCGAGATATTTTAGGTAAAACAGTGTCATACTGGGACACTGACATTTTCACTAATGAAATATGATTGTGTATTATTATTGATACTTTATTGATCCTCGTGGGGAAATTATTTTCACACCTCCTCCATCTTGCTCTCTGTAGGCTGTGAAGGGCAGCCACCCA